GAGGGAGGGAATGGCTCTCACGACTCTACCCTTTGGATCCACTGCTACCCGAGATGCTCCTAAGAAGTTTGCAATAAGGTCCCCTTTTTTGGCACATTTCTTAATTTATGCATTAAATACTGAAATATTTATGGAAAATACAAACATTTTAAACTTTATTTTACAAATATTCTAGCACAGTTAATTATTCGCAATAATAGGAAAAATCAAGACAATATACACTTGAAATCATTATTTTAGAATAAAAGCGAACAAAAATAATTAATATCAACAGTGTTATCTCTTGAACTATATGTCAACAAAGAAAATAATTGACTTGATGGTTTCTAGCGTAGTGTTTCATTACCATCTGTTCTGAATACTAATACTTCAATACATTGATAGTTGTGTATTTACGTTTGTTTCAATGAAAGAACAAAAAGGCTGTTCAGAAGAAATGCTGAAGGGTAATTTTTAAAGTTCAAATTTGTAGATGGCTCAGAAAATGACAACCTATAAATCACAAATTATCTTAATTTTCACATTAAGATGTCTTTAAGATTCTCTCTGTTAGCAATGGTGCCGCTCCTCCTGCCATGTCCACTTCAGGGGGTTTACTTTTACCTTTCTCGCATGCTATAAAGTTATGGAATCTTGCAACAATAAAATGGTGTTATTGTCAGCGAGTCATTCTCATTTGTTTGTTTGCTTCTTTCAAGTAATAACAAATCAAAACACAAGTAAGACTAACTATTTTTAATTTCATTAGAATACATTTTTTTTCCATTCCAATGGATGTTCCTCAAAGGGTACCATTTCATCTTACAATAAAGAAATAATGGACACCATGTTATCTCCTTCTAAAGACTTTCGTTTCCTCTCACTTTTTCTTTTAGTTGCAGTATGAAACTCCTCCAAAAAAATACTATAAATACAATATAAATTTTCTTACCTCATATCCCGCCTTTGGGTAGGTAATTTTTGGCCATGCAAAAGAAGAAAACAGGAAATGCCAAATAACAAAAGCATAAGGAAGATATGGCATTAGAATGTAGTTTTGGGCTGTATGAATTCGTGTGGACATCACATCAAAATAAGAAAACCATTCCAACCCTTCAGTAACCTGTAACCAAAGAAACAGCATTTCATTTTTACTTTTCTTAATTTTATGTATATTTTCTTGAGGGCTACAAAGCATGTATCCCTCAACAATCCTACAATATTAAATATTACCGGTCTTATTGACATTTTCATCCCTTCAGAAAAAAACGAAGACCCAGCAATGTTCTTGTATCATTCAATAAGTTAATTTCATGTACACATCAAATTTAGAAATTGGAGAACATTATGTTAAAGAACAACAATATTTCCTTCCCATGCATATTTTTACTGATAATTAATCCTCAATTTAAATTTAATATATACATCTAAGTTCTCTAACACCATCTACTCTTATCAATAAGCAGATGATTTAATTCACACACTTCTTTTTACATCCACTCCACAGAACCTTCTAACAAGGCTATGAGAAGCTTGGGCCTTAAATTGAGGAAAACATGATCTTTTAGAAATCCTGGCACAATCTCACTTCCTTATAAGTTATTAGTCAGACCCATTCTGAAATATAACAGTACTGTTTGGAATCCCTCCAATGATAACCAGCGGATGACTTGAAAAGGGCCAACATAAGATTCTTGAGAACTACAGCTCATACGCTTGGTAACCCTATGACCATCTATGACCAAGACTGAGAAAGCATCTTCAGAGAATAAACAATAACTACCTACTGATACGAGGGTGATGTTTGATTGTTTGTTCCTGAACAAACTCATCCATGATGAGATTAATAGCCCTGACTTGTCCTGCATCTCTTATACAGTACCTAGACTATACTCAAGGAACGATTCTCTATTCACCTTTTAGCACTGTAGAACTAGTGGGAGAGAATCACACCTTTAACCACATTCAAAAGAGTGCAAAAATTCCTTTTTCAGACATTGTCATTTTTCTGATTACTGCAAATCAATTGAGAAATAGACTTAAGAGCTGGCTGTAGAAACAGTATTATGTGAAAATATTTAAATTCCATTTGCTTTTTCAATTTTTTACCATTATCACTTACTTTCTTATTACACTGCTTTATAATTTCCTTTTGTATTTATCTGATGTTCCAATGTTAAAGGGTATCAATCTCGTAAAAAAAAAAAAATTATCATCATCATAAAATATCATAAAAAGAAATTAAAGTGCAATTCAAGCTGTGCTCTGCCTTAAATTCCCAACCACTGTATTTACTGATCACTTTCTCTCAATAAAAATTTGACTTTTGAGCACAGACACTGCAAATTAATTGTAATTAATTCTATACAATTCTTGCAATAACATCAAAAATGGGAAAAAATCATAATTTCTCCCATATACTTCATAATAAAACTAATTGTTTCATCGCAAACCCTCAATATAGTTTTTAATGAAATGATGAAGTTATTCAATCTTTACATTTGTTTTACAAACATTGACTTATTGGTAGACATAACTATTAACAAAATTTCATAGTTGAATCCAGTATTGTGGAACTCAATTATTTCAATGAAGACAAAGAAACTCATATATAGCTCATTCATAGAGAGTACAACACTCTATGAGGGCAGAAGTCTGAACACTAACAAAAAATATGAAAGACCAACTTTAAGCAACAGAAATGATGTTCTGGCGAAGATGTTGTAAACTTTTCCTGTTAGACAAAATGAGAACTGATGAAATAAGAAATAAAATGAAAGTACAAAAAACCTTAAACAAGACCGTTGAAATGAAACAATTAAAATGGTATGGGCATATGAGAAGATTGAAATTGGATAGACTTCCACAAAACTTTTGGAATGGATACCCAACCGAAGAAGATACAAGGGAAGACCAAGAAGAACATGGAACATGGCAATTACTGAAGCCATGGAAAAAAGAGAAATGGACGAAAACGACCAATGGGATAAAGAGGAATGGAAGTTGGATTGCGGAAAACAGGCAAGGCTGTATAAAAAACGCTAAATGGATAGATATTAAGAATTAATTTTTAAAAAGTCTCAGGAGGCCTCTTCAAAATTAGGGGGTTGTCTTATACTCAAAGTCGACTAATATTTGGATAACTACAGTACTAAATGAAAATCCCTTCCTCAATAAATAAACCCCCAGTTGTATTACAGATAAGCATCCATGAGATAACACCTTAGAAATATCACAGACATGACACTAACTGTTAACTCTTTCAACTAGTTTATTTATACAAATATTCAAGTGAGCAAACATGTAACAAATTACTTACACCTTCCAATCTGGTATCTTTCAGATTCATATTTAAATAATTTTCAAAGACACCTTGAGCGACACGATCATAATCTCCAAAACTTTGAACAGTTTGAAGAACACACTGCATCCTAGATAACACAAGAATGTATGATGTCAAACATTTGTATTCGTAAAATAACTTGAACTCAAACATCAATGAAATTCTTGTAGTGTTTATTTTGTTATATTATAATTTAACATGGAAAATATTAAATAAAAAAACATGTTAATTGTTTTTCACAAAATATTCAAACAAATAAAAAAATTAAGCTCAATAAATTATTAAAAATGCAATCTTTTGATATTCAGAAATAGATAAAAATGAGCAATTACCTGCTTGCTCGAGACACTTCATTTGTCTGCAGTGCCTCCGCAGAATCTAGGTCAGGAAGAGGAATAAGTTTGTCATTTTGTCGTGATTGAACACCTATTAAGCCCCTGCAAAAATAGAAAACTCTGTTAGCACAACTGAGGTTAAGAACTCGTAACACAAGGTCTGTAATTTTAATACATTGACCTCTCATGTAACAACACAAGGGCATGCAATCAAACACTTCCACAACTTACGAAACAATGGATTTAGGAATGGAATTATTAACATATGTCAACAATTCATTCGCAAATGACTTGCCAGCAGTTGGAAAGAGTGACTATATATGTTCCATGGTTTCTACCATTTACACCCAATACAGTCATTCTTTTCATCTATCAGATTTGTAGCTAGAAAAAAACCATCCCTCGACTATTCATGGATGCTCAGTTATTTCTAAAATCATTGTTTTTACTTGCGCATCTTACTGTTCTTCATGGCAAAACTGTTATATCTGCACCAGCAAACAAGAGTTCGAAATGAAGCAGATGCAGGGCATGCTCACTTAACAGAATTTAAAAATTGGCATTTTGCCATTGGATGAAACAAGAAAATTAGATTAACTTTATTGTGATGCTTAGAATAGAGCATTTCATACTCATAAGATATGCCATCTTCGCTATCCCATCCACAGTTTCAAAAAGTCAAAAAAAAAAAGAGAAAAGAAATACACAGTTCATTACTTAAGCATTTGTTAGCAATATGCTTCATACATTTTTATGCAATACAATATCCACAAAAATGTATGAAAAGTTTAAGTGAGTGAAATCCCTGTGAAAGAGTATAATTATTCAACAAATAATCTCTCACCTTCGAGGACGGTGAATTTGGAATATCTCCTGCCACACTGAGAATAGTCCCTTTTGCATGTCTTTTTGACCCACATTTGACCGTTGTACATCAGTAAGTCGCAGTTCAGTTCCTCGACCTTTGAAGAACTGAAGCACAGACATGCACGACCGAATATCATTTTGTGTTTTTTCAGCAAGAGCCACTAATGTGCCCATGTCAGTTTTCAGCCCCTGCTTCCGAGCCACTTCTAGAAGCCTCTGAGCTAGTCTGTATGAAAATAAAAAACATCATCACAAGAAGTGTAAACAGGGTTCTGGGTTCAAATCCCGTCCCAGGCATGGATGTTTGTGTGTGTTCCTGATGTTCTTATGTGTTCAGCTTACTGTTAATAATTATTTAGTTAAAAAAATATAAACTAAATAATTTTTCCTTTTAATCTAAGATAAATAAGTAACAAAAGCTTAGATCTGAGATACATGAGGAGTTGGAATTAAACAGAACTGTGAGATAGTCCTTACTATAGATTAATAATAGATTTGCAGAGTATTTCACGTTATTTTTTAAAAAGTATTAAAGTAAGCCTCCTACTAATTTGTTAGTTCTTTGATTTCACAGTGATAAAGTAAAAATTAAGAAAAATATTCTCAACAAATAAAACTTGAGTCATCAGTGATATCTAGTTAGAATACATTTTTCTTGATTTTCCCAAACTTTTCCAGAGCACACAAATTCCCTGATTTTTCCCAGTTTTCCAGAAAGTGGCCACCTTGAGACTTACTTCACCAATAAAACTAGAACCCATGTTTGATTTAGACATCAACCTGAGGAAGATCATTGTACCTCATGGTGCCAAAACAAATTTTGTAATATTAATGTACTCCTTCATATAGCCTTGTTAGTAATTTGAGAATTATTTAAGACCATTTCACTGATTTCTTTGATACTGTTTAGTAACTGAAATTAAAATGGGGCCAAACAACTCCTGCACAAAAATTTACATTAAAATTGTAATTTCTTATATCATTCTAGCAAGATACCAGAAGAAAGAGAGGGAGGTATAGTTACTTCATCAGAAATACTATCAAATGCAGTCTGTAGCTTGTTTTCCAATGGGAGCAAATATTTCTTGTTGTAAAATGTTGCCAACAACTATGTGCAGTAAAAAAATGTAAAACAAAAAAAGATAATTAAATACAGGGGGGATCTGAAACAAAAATGTGCGGAATATGTATTCCCCCCTACCAGCATATTTTTATCTTTTATAAGTTGGTGATAAAAAATAGAAACAATTAAATCAACAACGACAATTTCCAATCCATACCTGCTTGCTGTTGTTGGTGGAAATTGCAGGGTGAATGCTACTTGACGAAGTGATCTTAATGCAGGAACATAAATATCATTGCAGATACATACAATGGGACGTCTAGAAATTTTCACCTCTTTCTTCTTGCCTTTCTTTTTACTAATATCTTTTCCACTAAGAAATTTTAATAGAACATCTATAGAAGCCTGGAAACAAGAAATGAACATAAAAAAAAACAATGGAGTGACCATGAAAACTTGTCTGGAATAGATTCAACCAATTCCACGACAAAAAACAACAACAAATTTTTAATGGTTCTCTATTATATATGAACTCATATACAGTTAACTATATTGGCTCTATTCTTCTGACAACCAGTAAATCATAGAAAACTATCACATCATAATTCAGTACTCTGAGGAAAAGTTTTAAACTTGCAAATAGTTTTTGGGTCAATAAAGACTGAGAAAATCTGACAACTTCTTTAACTGAAAAACGCAAGACTTACAGCCGGAGCTCCATCAATCTCATCAATAATCAAACAGTTTGGTCTTGGCTGTTTTCCCATAACAGCTTGCATCTGAGTAGCAGATTCAAGCTGCAAGCGAAAGGCATCTGGACTGCGATCATCACTAGCATTCATCTCAACAACGTTATAGCCTGTCATGAATAAGAAGAAAATAAAGTAACCACAATTTCAATAATTATTTTGTTTATTATCACAATGTTTAGTCTACATACTCACAATACTTAGTTGTTCAAATACAAAAAATATACTTTGAAACATATTATACAACTCTCTGAAAACATTGTTAAGATAGTATTGTTAAGCGAGATCATTTTGGAGGCATTTCTTAAGAGCAGATGATAGTAATGAACAGGATTTTTAACACAAAGTGAAATACGTTCCTCAAATAATTTTTCTTCAGTCGTGAGGACTATACTCGAGATTGTTTACCATTACCCTTTCAGCAACTTCCAACTCACAGAATAGAGTATTCAGTCAAAAATAAAGACTTGCAAAGAAAAACACCTTGTGTCTATACAGTATATCAAGCACAAGAATAATTTGGCATAATCCAAGAACAGAAATTTGAAGTTTGACCTTTAAGATTCACTCACTTCACTTGCCTCTTTCAATAGTCATATCTGTTTACCCATATTCCATATACCCTGCTCCTGACTTCCAACTCATTCCCCACACTTATTCATCTACATGTCTATCACAGTTTCCACTTCGAAAAGGAAAGGAAAAACCATTCATGGCATTGCAGTGCCATTGTGATAGATAAGCAACAACTAGGATGACCCATAACCCTCTGACATGATGAACCTCTTCCATGAACAGTATGCTCATTATGAAATGCTAAAATGAGAATGATAACCAGTTAAAATTTGTGTTTGGCAATGCCTCACCTGCATGTTTAGCTACCAAGTGAGCCAATGTGGTCTTGCCCAAGCCAGGTGGACCACACAAGAGAGCAACTTTATGTTTCGGGCAGTCATGTTCATCCAGCTCTTCATCCAGCACATTTTTGGGTTCAAATTTCTTGAAGGGCTTTTCTGCAAAATTCACAATATTACTCAGCACACCACTCGCAAACAGAAGCACAATACAAAAAGGCAAAATTTGAACAATTTTCCTCAGTACTATTGAATCTCATTAGCATGTTCCCAGTTATCACATTTTTCCACTTTTTTCAAGTACAGGTCCCAATTCCATCAAGTGTTTTATTTACACATTTAACAATCCTACTTAACATGTTCAAATTTGTATAAAGTTTGCATAGGTCATTTACTTCGCAAGACACATGATTTCCATTGCACAAGTGCCATCTTCAATGTGTGTTGTTTGCATGTTACTTTTGAGTACCACTTTCATTCTAATTTCAGAGCCAGAGAAAAGGGTATCACTGGCCTCAGTGACATTCCCCCCCCCGTTAGGCCTGTGTCACACGAGAGTTGCATTGACATGTGTCACCTAATGTTGACGACATCAACTGCGCCAACGTGCGTTGATGCCTGCCCACACGAGCCGCTTAATGTGCGCTATCGATTTACACTATCTTAAGCAAAAAGCCACAAGAGCACTCTTGGGGACATGCCTTGTGCCCACAACTCAAGCAAGACATTCAAGCTGCTATGTATGAGTCAAGATAACACACATTTTTAGCTTTCAACACCTGGCAACCCCAAGTTGACTAAAGTGCAACCCCAAGTTGACTAAAGTGCAACCCCAAGGTGCATTACTGCGAGTGCTTTTTTGGTGTAATTAAGTTTTATTCAATGTAATTTATGAATAAATTAGGTTCATCCCATGAATATCTGCTTGCTATAGCGTATCCTTGTTTTCTCTATACAAGCAAGTGCAGACAGAAATGTCAACATAGACATAAATTGAGTATTTTTCATTAACACTTTTCCTATTTACGACACGCAAAATTTTCAGACCTTTGAAAAACGTAATAACAAAATTCCGCTTTAAATGCAATTCCATTACATTTTTTATTAAGGAAATTTTCCACCATGTTATATTACTTTATTATAAATCTAAGAGTACATTCTATAAAAACACATACATTCTATATAACCACCTTGCAGTTTACCGCTTGTATTGTTTATAGAGTGCAGTGGTTCATGTTATTTGGAAGGAGTATGCAAAACAGTGCACAACCACTTATGCCCAAAATAAATCATAATTATTTAATGATTAAAATATACTAAATTAATGTGGTGCCAAGCAAAGATACTGTAGTTTCTTGATGAAGATTAACCTCTGGGTTGTCCTAGCAAAAATTTCAGTACCATCACATTTGCCTAAATATGACCCCAGAATATGAAGACGCATACCAAGAACTTTGTAATTATCAACTAATTCTTACTATTTAGTCACAATAAAATGGCAAATTGCGTTCTTAATAAGAAAACTGTCTTGAAAATGTTAAAACATTTTGTCCGAGCTATTTTCTAGTTCTTCAAAATCATAAACATCATCGTTTTTGTCAATGCCATCTTCATCCTCACATCTATCATTCTCTGGTCAAAATCATCATTCAAATCACATGTATCCTTCTCCTTGCTCATCTTCCCTTCCTAGGTTGCCCTCTAATTTTCTAGCTCCACCCTCCTGAAAGTTTTGTATTTTCAATTTGTGTTTTTAGCTTTGCACCCGATGCCATCTACAAACTTTCCTTTCTGTGTTAACAGATTTTTCTTCCTGACATGTATGCAAATTGCCTCTGATTATTTAACAACCATCAACTTTAAATTCATATGACCCAATTGTGAACTGCAAATCTTTATCTCTGTTCCACAGGTAATGTGTGTGGGTAAAAGAGCAAAGTTGCCAATGTCTGGAAATTTTTTGCTGCTATTATTTTATTATCCTGTCTCTGTGTTTGGATGGAGAATGCACACTACTATCAATGTGAAAGTTTTTATTTCCTTCTCTTGCAAAATGCTACTCATATTCTTTAAGCACTGCATGGCAAGGCTAAGCATCCCCAACAGAATCCATGTGCACTCGTCAAGTATCATGTAACAAATGACTGGCAAATATGCAGTTGATGCAAAAACATCCAAGAATATAATTAGAAAAATATTTACACATGTGATATGAATTATTGACTTTGTGGTTTATTGTTGTCGGTGTTCGTTTCTTGACATGGAAAAGCAATGTAAAAACATATCCCAACCAACTAGTCCTAATCTATGAACATAAGATGACCTCTAATTTTCGAAAGAGATATTTAGGACAAATCCGCATCTTATATTGGAGAAAATAAGATATAATCTAATTGAATAGGGTCACAAACTCAAAAGCTATCTTGACACATACCTAAGGTGTCACATTTAATGTCACACCACATACTAATTAAAAGCAATTATCTGACCATTATGTAAGCCTTGAAACACAAATGAGAAATTTTACTTTGTCTCATTCAGATGCTAAAGAAGCATATACTTACTAAATGATCCTTTTGGTCCTTTGTGGAATTTCTTACTCTGATCTGATTCTTCTTTTGGTTTTGGTTTCACTTTTTTCTCTCGACCAAACACAACTTTATCCCAGAGCTTCAACCATTGCAGGAGCGTTCTGTTCATACTCTAAGACATTAAATTACATTTATTATTTTATTACAATTCTTACAAACAAATAAAACAAAACAAATTGAATTACTTATTTTTTTATAACAAGAGGTATTTTAGCCACATTAACAACTAGCTATCATGCCACAGTGTAAGAGCAAGTCAAAAATAGGGTATTTTCTGGAGAATTTTGAAGTACCAAATTCCAGTTCAGTTCTAAATTTTTAAACAGAAGTGGTAAATATTTAATTTGCGCTTATACTTTTAGAACCATTAACAGCTTGTGTTAACATGTAGCAACAAAATCATTAATTAATTATTATTGTCTTATACTTTTACTACTTGGCATGGTAGAATTGTTATACGGAAAACATTTACTGAAAACAAATTGCACACATCGGCAAGGTTTTTTACAAGAAAACATCTTGAATCTGTTAGTCCGAACACTTGAATTGCTGTGGACCAGCTCTTCACAATAATACTCCAGCACTCACATCATTGGATAGAATCAAATAAGTTTATTTTCTAGTGTAGAAGGGAATGTTAGCCTTTCCCCAAATAAAAAACAACGCATCTATTTCCCTAAAAATGCCTGAGAAGCTTATCAATAAACTCCTTATCTTTGCTGCTTCGTTATGTATTGTATTGTAATATCCTGAAGTGAAATCACTGAGCTTGTTTGTCAGAATCCTCCATGCAGACACTGGCATATAGAATTGTGTTTCTGTACACATGTTCAATAATATTTCTTCTGAGATCCGGGAACTTTAATACATCAAATATTACGCTAACCAGTGTTTATGCATTTCATTATTGGGCAAAATCATAAATACTAGAAGACAAACTAAATACAGGATGCATTGGATGTAGTCCAGCATCCAGATAAAAAGATAATAATGGCTTCAAATATTGTTTACAATTTGGTTTCTTTTCTTAGTTTTCATAGTGTATTAAATTGAAATACAAGTGGAGATAAATGTGAAAAGTGTATTAATGATGTTAATAAAAAACAAAAACTATATAACATGAGTATTGGACAGAGTCCAGAACACGAATACTTGTGCTACAAATGGCCGCACGAGTTAAGATGTTAAGAAAAATCAAACTCTGAAACCACAACGTATGTTGGTGAGCTACATGCACATGTGAAGGACTCAAGTAATATTTTTTAAAAAAGGCTCAAAATGCTTCATGCAATATGAGAATATTTGGAATTTGAAGAAATTGCAGTACACAAATGTTTAAAAGAAGAAAAATTAAAATTACAATTTTCACATCTAATGTGATTGTTATTGTGATGCCAAGTGACATTACATGAAGAGGGTTGAAAGGGACAAAAGAATAGCAAACTTACACAATGATGAACTGAGGTAAAAAAAATCTCAAACTTTAAAGGTACATGCCTGACAACCAAGCAGCGTTGACTATATTCAAATAAACATTCATTACTCACTTCATCACTTAGGAGGTCCAAATAATGGCGAGGTTTGTATTTTTCCACCCATAAAGCAGCATCTTCATCCTCACTCATTAGCTCACATCCAGAATCAGTAGACGACTCCTCTAAAGCTTGAAGGCGTTTTTCAAAAGCAGCTTCATGTTCCCGTTCTATCTTCTGTTTGAGCTAAAGTAATTGCACAAAGTTAATTACTGTTATAGCAAATATTTTCCCTATTTAATGTTTGAAACAAAAACAGCTTAGTACTGTAATTAAATTAATTTTATCTTTTTTCTAATATCTGCAAACAGTATTTAACACTCCATAAATATTGGACTGCCTATGACCCACAAGAGAATGAGCTATGCAAAACATGTTGGGGGACTCACTATTTCCTCAGCTTGCTCTTTGAGTCTGGAATATGACGCTGACAATAATCCAAGAGTTTGAACATGTTTACCAATTTGTGAAATCTGAAAACAAAATAATTAAATTAATGTACAATTTAAAGTGTATATAACAAACTAATATGATGCCAGTAAAAGTCACATCTTTGAAATCGATCTTTCAGTTTTTGTACTTTCCTCCTGCTTATCTACAGTACCCATAAAATATACTCTTAGACCTCCATAAAAATTATACCACCCCCAAACTAGATTTATACATATTTAAGAGGACTGAAAGAGAAAAATGTACACGTGAGAAAAAATGCTTAACTGAAATTGATCTCTGGAACTCAGGAATGAAAAACTAGAGCACTGACTAACATGTACCATACATATAGGATGTGTAAAGAACAAATTAGCAGAAACACAAAAAAATATTGGGGTAATTGTCAAGAAACACGACCAGTTCTCGTCAAGAATGACATGATTTTATACAGTAATATCCATAGGTGATGGGAGTCTGTGATAAATTATCAAACAACAATTTAGAAAGATATTTCTGAAAGAGTGAGAAGAGGAGGGAGAAAGATAAAGGGAAAGTTACGAATGTAACTACAAGAAATAAAAAAAAATTAGGAAAGGCTGACATCATAGGTAACTGAGAAACCACAGACAAAAAGGAGGCAGAAGTAACATTAATCCATTAACTATTAAAAAGATTTGTATTTGTCATAATAATAATAATAATTCTTTTGCTGATTAAAGCCCTGAGTACCCTTGACAGATATAGGACAAAGAAGACATCATACAATTTGTAAATAATATACAGATTTAAGTGCTGTAATTTTTAATAAACTTAAATGTAATTTAACAACTTTTCAAATAATGAATTTGCTACTACAGCTTTCTCTGCTGTTTCCAGTTTCCATGAGTAAAACCAAAATAAAACCATGACTTAGTGTCAGTGGGAGTTTCCACAGTTAAATGAAATATTCTTCCCCCTTTTGCAATCATTTAGCTGAATTTAAACAATAAATCATTATGGTAATTTTTATAAAAATTTTACTGAAAGGAAGAAAAAAGAAAAGAAAGGTCCCAATATTACAAACCATAAATGAAAAGTGAAATAATTATCTTCTCCCATGAATTTCACTCTCATCTTGTTACAATCATTATAACGTTTTATAAAAATTACCTGGAAATGCAGGGTCTCATCAGAATGTTTTCGCAAATACCAACGTTCCCCGTTGCTAGCAGTAATGGCAACAAACGGCCATTTTGGAATGCGTTTTGAAATATTTTCTTGTTTGCTACTGGTGCTGAAAATAATTAAACAAATAAAAATAATTTTCTTCAAACATTAAAGTAAAATTGAAAACTCTTATTGGAGGATGGCTCAGATTTTAAAAAATTGTATCATAACTGAGAAGAGATTGTTTAGTTAAGAAGCAATTTCCAGAATATTTCAATGAATGCACAAATATGAACGTGCAATTTTCAGTGAAATATTTACAATTAAATCTTTAAAAAAAGATCCTTAAAAAAAGAAAAACATAAACCCATCAAATGTATTTATTTCATTTTAAATTGTGCAGTAAATGTAGTATTATGGGTATTTTCCTGAATAAAGAACTAAAAAAGCACTCTTAATGCTTTATGGTCAGTTGGAATTTTACCAATTGAAGTACAAGCAAATATGATCTATCTGAAAATGAAAGTGAATGAGTTTGTATATAATGTATATAATATATAATTTTCAGTAATTTATAATGTATTTGAGGTCATTTAAAAATTTACTTAAAAAATTGCAAACCTTCTGAGTGCCTGAAGTCACATATAAAAGTTATCAGACATGAGACAATTCTGGAATTATGAAAAGGAATGGACAACGAACTGCAGAAGGCAATAATCAGACCCTTATATTTAAATTAAAAACATGGCTCTATGTTCCTACATAAAGATTTACCCAAAACAACATTATTAAATTTGAAGACCACATCTAGATTAAATGACACAGTTTTAAAAAACTTATGACCTCCAAAAATAAAACTAACCACTGTGAATATGTCCAACTTTCTTCTGGAAGCCAGATGAGACATAAATCCGACAAAAAAGTAACAGAATGAATGTCAAATGAAGACTTATCCCCACAAAAAACAACAACACAAGGGTTCAAAACAAATTTGGGATCAACACAATGAGGGATTTGAGCACAAGTAGTCAGCAACATACAGATCTAAAAATTTATGTTCACTTAACATAACAATTTTGATCTTCTGTGCAATTTAAACACAGGTCGGAGTCTGTCATTTGTTAAAATACAATCAACAATATATGTAACATACAGTTCAAGGCCTGGCCTTTTGAAGTTGGGTTCCAAAGTAAAGCTGTTTCTACTTTTAAGATAATGGACTACAAATTTGAAATAATCACATGGAACACTTGTGCTTCATATAATTAAAATTTTATAACATTTGAGATTTTGTTGCAAACACTTGTTGTTTTTTCTTTAATATTATATTTAAAATTTTAACTGTAATTCTAGTGTTATTTCTGGCTTTGTTTAATATTGTTATTTCAAACTTAAACTTTATGATGACGGAAACGCTTTTAATTGTTTAAAAGTGATTGTATTACAGGACACCTGACAATGGTTGTGAAATTTGATTTTAGAGCATAGATGCCAATGAAATAATTGTTTCTTAAAACATTAGTTGATTTCATTGTCTCTAATGTAAGAGGATACTACTGTACATAAACATATTTAATAGACAGGCAATCATTTTGGTCTCCCTTTTAAGAAGAAAAAATAAATAATTTCTTACTCTGAACTGCAGTCCACATCTCGAAGAACACGCAAAGACTGAGCTTTCAGTTTTGCTTCTTGTCTACCAGAAACTATTTTGTCTATTAGTTCCTTGTCAACTTCATCTTCAGTTTTCTTTTTCTTCACTGCAACTAATTCATAAAAAATATTGTAATTTAAATATAATGTTAAAACTAACCGTAATATAATGAAGTGACCAAATGCAGAGAGTTGCATCAAGATATTTTATCACGATTATCCTGGCTATCACTGGGAAAAAAATACACCATCCTTAATCTTCTGTATTGTACTCTATGTTTATGACAATATCATATAAAAAGGGGGGAAACAAAACTGTCCCTACAAATTAGACCAATTAGCCTCACAAGTGCTGTTGGGAATGGAAAGAACTTTAATCCATAGGAATCAAGAACATGTTGAGAACATTGGGATTATTTGTATCACACCCAATTTCCAACAGTAACCAACCTGTTGAGTTCGCCAAACACATGGAGAACGCCATTAGAAGATAGTAAACCAATGGACATTGTTTATCTAGAATGTACCAAAGCCTTCAATATTGTACTGTACTGTCCTGTACTGTACTATTGTACTGTATTACACTGTACCAAGCCTACTTCTGATTAAGCTTCAACTCCTCAGAATTGGAGGGAAAGCTTGGCTTGCTAATTATCTCTCTGATAGAACTTTTCGTGCCAAGGGGACCCAAAGGGATTTGCACTGGGACCCCATTTTATATATCTTGAGGAAGGTCTAGAGTTGAATTGAAATAGTTTTGCAAATTACACAAATATCTTTACTAAGTTCTGTACATTGTATAAATGACTACAAGAGGTCAATAGAAAATTGGTCAAAAGAGTGGTAGTTAAGCAGAACCAAATAAAGGGATTGGAAACCAAAGGTTGCCTTATGTAATTCGAGGCAACAATATCAAATCAACCAAGATCTAAAATGATTTGGGTGTTACTGTATCCCACGACTTCAAATTAGAATAGTACATAGCATTCATAGCCACTATAGCTGATGCCCCCAATTACCTGATGATGAAAGTCCACCACAACAGATACTAGCTTGTTGAGAAAAATATAGTGGTTGTATGTTAGGCCCATAATAGAGCATGCTAGTGTGATCTGGTCTCCCAAATATAAAAGACATCAAGTTCTTAGATCAAGCCCAGAGGAGATTAACTAAATCCCCTGAGAGCTATGATACATGAACTATCAAGAGAGACTGCAGAAGTTAAATTTTGAACCCTTAGAACAAAGAAGAGAACAAATCTACCTTCTAGAAACCTTTAAAATTTTGAAGGGAGTTCACCACATTGAAGAGCTGGGTAAGGTGTTTCTTACAACTCAAAAGTGATCAACTGAGAGGACACAAGATAAGCCTCCAAAAGGAGAAAGCCTACACAAATTACAGAATGCACTTTTTAATGAACAGAGTGGTGATCAAGTGGAATGATCTGCAAGCCTCATTTGAGAACACAGATAGTGAGGAACTTCTTAAAGCATACTGCACCTAACTTGAATTTTACAGTATATTGTTTTTAAATTAAATCATATGTTAATATTGAGTATGGACTATTATGATTAATCTACCATGTTGTCTTATTAACTATGGCTCCTGTCTAAATGAATAAATAAATATTAAATAATAATATCCACTGCACTATTAAATTTAACATCTGTGAATTGTCTGCACTACTGTTCAGATGTCTCAAATAGTTAACTGAATTTTAGAAAACCTAGGCTAAGGAACAGATCCTAAATTTGATGAACAGAGACCAGATTTTAAAGACAAATTTTAGTGACGTCACTGAAAAATACATTCTTGTGCATTTTGTAAAGATGTGAAAATGAATGACTGAACCCAAACTTTGTCAATTTTTTCTATTTTTCTGGTACTTTGCAGACTTGAGATGTTGCATTATTCTGTCTTTTACATGCTTCTCATTTACCTTAATAGTAGCCTCATGTAAACAAGAGTGAGTGATCATAATTCCCAACGAACAGCGAATTTGCTGCTGCTTTCACACCATTTCATTTGCAGTCTGTCACCATCACACAAGTCAATGAAACTGTTTGAATATTCTGTACAGTAAAATTGGATAAACAATTAATACACCTACACATAACTGCCCTCTCATCAGTTCTTAAACGCAGTTTTACACAATTCACATTTCCTCTTAAGTTCCACAGGAACTGTAACAACATTGGATAGACGAATTTCACAGCAAAGCTAGCAAAAGCAAGGAAGCATAGAAAATCAAATGAAGCGACTTCTGCCTTTTCCTTTTCTATACTCCACTAATGAATTTCCCTTCTGTCCTTCAATTCCTTGAAAAATGTACTGTAGTGTGTGTCAAATAAGCAAGGGATCATGACACATGAAAAGTTATTCAAATTGTCACAATTTGCTCAATATCTTATACAGAAAGGGATCAAAAGAAAAATTTGATCTCTGTTGAAAATGGATGAAGAGCGAGTAGATGTTAGTTATACTCACCAGAGTACTCATTTAAATCAATATCATCTATATCTCCAAACAGTTCCTCAACCTTCCTTTTCTTCAGTTGTTCTTCATCTTCGATGTCAGCTAAAGTATCATCATTTAGCCATGACGGACCTGCCACCTGCAAAAAAAAGTTAACTTCAAAATTTAAAAAGAATTATAATGGAGCAAAAAGTAAAATTATGACAATTTAGAAAAGAGCAAAAACCAACAAAGAACCCTCTGGTAAACAGAAGCAAATACCATAGGGAAAACAAATGGAACAGAATAAACTGCTTTACTAGAAATTCTAATGGACAGCTGTAGTGTGGAAGAATACCAATAAGATTATTTACTGCTCAAGAGAAATACCTAGTAAGCCACACAAACTGGAGATCCACTGAATATCAACAAATGGTAGTCACATTTTTACAGAGAAACTGTTCTATCAAGAGAATTAACTGGAATATGTCTGCAATACACAAACAAAAAGCAATAGTTTCTAGAATTGTATAAAAAAGGTAAATTCTGAGCATTGCTATCTGCTCACATTTTATTGTCCATTAAAAAAATACTTTATGCATATGGATATATATAACACAGTAAATAGAAGTATCCTTAGTAAGTTTAGAACACTTCTGCATTCATGACCCTGTATAATATACTTCTATTCTCTGGGACAGGAAATACTGTATTCCAATTTAAAATTGCAAATGATGCATCGAAAGTGTTGTATTGACTTACAGTCTCAGAAAAAACAAAGAAAAAAAAACAAAACAAATTCATTTTGTGCACTTCAAAAGTAATACATATTTAATATTTCACAGCTTATGAACAATCACAGTAAGATATCCCTTTAATAGAGACACTATGGAGACAAGAAATTATGAAAATGGAATCAACAACATCAATCCTTATCCAGATTGTTGTAGTTCAGACCATAAACAGAAGGAATTTCATACACCTTGCAAAATTTTAAAATCTACATCAACAAAAGAATAGTTCTATTTCAATGACCATTTGTTCTCTACACTCATCCTTCATTATAAATCAATATAAGAAAATATCATTACAACATGTCGCAGCTCAGAATTAATAGTATTCTGATTTAAACACAATGAATCAAATTTGCATCTTGGGTGTCACTGTTTTCTTCTAAAATACTTTTTTAAACAATTAAAAGAAAAATCAATCTATTCCAAAGCTTAAATTTCATTACCTCAATTTTCTAATTTATGAAGTCCCATTTCAGAAAAGTCTTATTTTAATGAAGTGGATTATGGTAGGGAAATTGGTTGAACATTACAATACAGAAGACATAACAAAGAACAAAAAACTTGAAAAACTATTACCGGTTCAGCAGGAGTCCTGTTGCTTATAAGTGAATTATTTACATGACTTGACTTCTGCGATTGAATATTTTGGCTGGCAGGAGAAGAGCAAGATACTGAATCTTTGGGATTATCAAATTGAAGACTTCTCCTTGATGCTATCTTGGGAGGAGGCTTGTAACAAAAATCTGGTTCATCTAAAAAATACAAAACAAACAGCTTTACTCAACATTTAAAACAGATATTAACTTTAGAGCTATTTATTTGCTCTTGTATTAACATATGATTATTTTATCTTTTTTTACAATTATTATGATATTACTCCTAAATGTTACTCAATTGAATTATTAAAGAAGAAGCCAATCTAGATAGTAAAAAGTCTGATTTACACACTTATCTAAAATTACCATTAATAAAAACAATAGTCCTTTCCACATATCAATGCATAAAAGATTGCAAAAAAGGGCAAATATTATTGTTATATAAACCATTGCACAAGAAACATCCAATTATTGAGCAATTCAAAGAAAATATTTTAATTCATTATTTGAAGCAATATTAAAATTTTCCTTTGAATTTTTAAGGGTATATAGAAATACTATGAAGAGAGTTTTTTATTGATTTAAAGTATAGAGCTTAATTACAAAAGTTCTGAGCTATTAACAAACAAAAAAAAACCTTTCGAGAGAAAAGAGGAGATTGTCATAAAAGGGCATGAACATTATCCCACACTCAACAAAGAATCTTTCAAACTGTTGCAAATATGATGTGGAAGCAATAAGCAGTTTGCATCTTAGCAACTTGCTAAGATGAAGTCCTAAGTAATACATTCGGTTTAACATCAGGGAAAACATAGAAAGTGTATAGAAGCCACTTCTTGATTGTTTCTTACGAACAATAAATTGATTTCTGCTTACATTTCAAAAAGTCCAATTGTAGTTTAATTCAAATTTTGAACACTTGTTTCCAGTTTCACTTAAATGTCAAATTAAAAGGAGTGTCAATATAGGAGAATTGTTTTCAATAAGAATGGATATGTAAATGTAAATAACTGCTATGTTTGTTTTCCTGGAAGGGACGCATATTTGAGAAAACAAGTTTCAAAATACATTTATATAAATGCCTGGTAGGAATGCTCTTGTTTAAGCATGACATCATCTTCCTTTTCTAAATTTTCATGTTAGGCTCTATGATATAAGTATTTTTCTTTAATTGAGTGAGTACATTACTTTTTATTAAATTGTAAATTTACAAAATTAGTATTCTCCACATCTCATCTTACAATTTCGTACTAAAAGGTCATTAATTTACTATCCATTTCTAACAGCAACTTAAATGCCACCAAAAATCTGTACTTACTAGTCATTTAGAAGCCAATGTCTACTTTACCAACAAAATTGACTTCATACTCTTTTTGTTACTCTTATATCAATAAGTAAAACAAGTACAAATAAATAATATGTTCTAGGTGTAAACTGTTTCAAAATACCTGGTAAATACAATACATGTCAATTTGTTTCACTGAAATAAGTTTTGTGATTTATTTGTTGGTTTCGTAGTACAATAAGTGACAATACATATACACTCATACAAACAATCACACTGTAAAAATTAACTTAAATTGTCATATTACCTTCAGGTGCTTCATTAAGAAGATCTAGATCATCTCCATAGTTCAATTCAAACTCTTCATCAGGATCCGGGAAGTCTGACATGATGTTGAAACCTGATGATGAAAGTTCAAAATATATATTGGTCACAGAATAAAAATGACTTAGAATTGGAATTTTTTATTTTCCACATAAATGTCATATACATAAGCAAAGTTACACACATTCAAACAAAATGACAGTACGTCACAAACACAAAAATAACAACGCGATTTAAAGGGATCGCAGAAAGACAAGAATTAATCACACAATCGTTAGGTTAATCCACGTGTAATTTCTTCAAAACAAAAATTCTAAGATGTATCATCTTACTATTCTAGAAAGCACGTTGTACTTGAGCAATGTTGGCAATCTAGCACAATCACTTATTTGGTAGAATCACGTTTCGGTCATTCTTAACTAAATTCACATCAAATTTCATCATACGCCAAAACAACCAAATCCTTGCCGCCTTTTTCTAGAACTCGTGTTTTGCTCGTAATCATTCGCGAGAGTTCGTCTGCCTCCAGATCGTCAGCGCTTCCAGTGGACAATGAAAGAAACATTACATGTGCAACCCTACCTTCAAATTAGCAGCGGGAACACAAAGGAGCGATGCATAGTGAAGGCAGAATTTAAATTTGAACTAGTGGTGCTTCAGAATGGCAATGACTTTCTCATATCAGCTTTTTATTTCCTTTGGTCACGGTTAGTTACTCGGACTTGTCACATCCTCTTGCCAGCTGCCATCTATCGCAGCCCAAAGTACATTTTTTTGAAAATTTCTTATTTCTTTCTTTCCTAATGCAGAACGGAAATATTATTTTAAGAATAATAAAGAACAGTCTAACATCTTTCTAAATGGCAATTTTCTTTGAAAAATTTGGAGCCTTTTTAAAAACAGGCGTTTAAGCACTAGTATTAATTCGAAATTTGAAGCTCTTTTCACAGACAATTTTTGAGGTTTTGAAAAACTTTATTAGAAGTCTTTTGAAGCACATGAACTCACAAATACAATAGTTTTTACAAATTGCTGGAAATGTGCGGAAACGGTGATGGAAACGGCGAGAAAGATCATTACATTTGTGTAACTTTAGAGGGAAAAATAGAAAAAAATACCGAAAGGAACTTTAGATCATATTAAAAAGTGCATTTAGCGCTATCCGTTCGAAAAGTTTGAAGAAAAAATTTGAAGCCGTTTTTGAGAAAATGGCGTTTGCACGCTTCTGAAAATGCAGAAGTTTGAGCTAGTTTTCACAGAAAATGGTTGTTTTCGAGAAACTTTATCTGACACTATTTAAACATATGTACTCATAAATATAATAATGTGAACAAATTGATGCTAATATAAATATTAACTACGTGAGCGACTAGTCAAAAAAATTATATTTTTGCAATTTTTGGAAAAAACTAAAGAATAGAGCAATATGGCGTTTATGTCATCTTATAGAGTACATTTATCACTATGCCAATTAAAAGTTTAAAGTAAACATTTGGAGCCGTTTTTTGGGAAATCTTGTTTTTGTATTATTATTTTTTTTTTTTAAATTTCAAATATTGTACACAATATTGCGCGAAGACTATTAACATTTTCAAAAAATGAACATGACCTTAACGAAAGAACTCACTATGGAGAACAAATTTTATTTAAAGGAAAAATCTTTCTTTAATTTTGTAGTTGTAAGACAAAGGAACAAATTCATACACTTGAAATTTTCGAAATTCAGAATGAAAATCAGCCCTATGTAAGTGAATGTTATACTATTCTTACAAGAAATTTAAAGGAAAAATTTAGAGCCGTTTTCGGGAAAATTTCATGATTTTATGTAAAGTACCCCAAATTTTGAAGAATGTGTTTCAAAATCTGTAACTATCGACTCGAGCCAGATGAACAGAGGTTTCTTCAATTTGGAAAAAATTCAAGGCATGGTTTAGGCGCTAGTAGTGTTTAAGGTCACCAGATGGACGGACTGACAGACGGTCGGACGGACGGACGCACGTTTTGAAAAAAATAAAATAAATAAAACACACTTTTTCGGTATCTGGGGACACTAAAAGTTGTATTTCCGTTGAAATATCGAAATCGATTTTCCGCAGCATTACATAATTCTCAATAGTATTACTCCGCGCGCCGTGTGTGTGTGTGTGTGTGTCTATATATAT